CCCCAGAGATAACATTGAAAGGCAACTCAGAGCTTGCGGTTTTCCAGAGAGACGGTGATTGGGATGGTGCATTGGATTTAGTAGTTAAAGCAGGCGATCCGGGTGTTCGATCTTTGGCTGCAAATGATTGGTACAGACTACGCCGTAGACTTGAAATTCTCAAGGTTGACTTTTGTTTGCTCGATGGTTTTTGACCGATATTCCCATGTTCGAATAATGTGTGAATTCATGATTGTTTTTACTCGTGCAGTTAAGTGGTGCGTCTCCGTCAACCTTCCAAGTGCCTTATAATTCTTTCAAGGAAAAGTTTGAATCGAGTGAATTTGACTCAACTGCCGAAAGTCGAGAGCGGAATATAAAGGATTTGGACTATGATTTCATTTGTTTTTTCCTCTCGACCCAAAGGCTTGATCTTTACCGATCGATTGATTTCCGGTGTGAAGATATGCTTTTAGGTAAACGAGCTTTCTGCCTTATATGAAATTATTCAATAGTGGCAAGAATGTAATTTCAATAAGTGTCCTTATGCTGTGCCAGATGATGGGATTTTGTCAGAGGCGAATTGGCTTCTTGATTTGGGCCTAATGCCTAATTCAAACTCTGCAAGTCGAGCTATCGGTTACAGACAAGTATGCTTTTAATAGTTTTATTTTTTCTGTTAAATGAATTAAATATCGGATCTTTGCGAATTCATATAATAGAAGGATGGTTTGAGTATAGTTTCGTTTCGTTTTCCCTCAGGCTATGGAGTATCTGCTAATATCACGAGAACAAAGGGGTTGCAGTTCGTCTAAAGATTTCTACTATTTTCTGACTAATTTTCAAAAAGCGTCCAGGTATTCGTTTTTTTATTTTTTATTTTTTTAAATAAATTATTCTGGAATAATAACTTTGAATATTAACATGTGCAGAAACTTTGCAAAAAGACAATTGACATGGTTTCGAAACGAACCCGTCTACCAATGGATTGATGCCTCAAAACCGATGGTATGCTTAGGCATTGTAGACAGCCGAATAATTCATAGGTGGCTGTCGAAATATCTTGTGGTCTTGTCAACAAACTGAACTCACCCGTTTTCCGTAACTGCAGGAACAAGTGGTGAACTTCATATGCGACGCCTATGAAGACCAAACAGGGGAACTTAAAGTACCTCGATCCCTATACATGGACAAGGATATATCGAACCAGAAGGAAGTCCGATTGCTAAAAGCTTATCGCACGAAAAATAGGTTTGTCTGATAAATGTTTTGCACCTCGTACATAAAAAAGAAACCCGAATAATTATATAGATAACATTGTTTTTTTCATTCACTAACATGGCTCGGTTTTGCATGTGAATAAAAAGGCATTTCAGCTCGCGAGAAGATTGCGACGGTATTATAGATTGGGTGAGGAGAACTCAAGGAGAGCCCACTCTCTCCGTTTGTTAGAAACAACACGGCACTTTTTGAAACATGTAGTTTCGAGTTCTCTCTCTCACACACACACATAGGTGTGTCTTTTAGAGAGAGAGATTTTGCATAGAATTATGTACTCTGAGGTATGATTTTTTTATGCATCATGTTTTCACTTTGCCAGAACAACTCTTTGCTCGTAAATTTCGATCTGAAATCTCTCAAACTACTCGAATTGACCTGTAAAAAAGAAGAAGAAAAAGAAATCCCTCGCAATAGCTTTTTATAACTAGAAATACGTAACAAGCACATAAATTTACATCGGCTACATTCTGCCGTCACCATCATAACCAATCAAAAATACATTCTTTCTAACAGAAAGAGAAAAAAAACCTCCTTACATATTACACGTTCAAATGATGGTATGAATGAGATGTTGGAGCTGTCACAGACCTACAAAACATCGAAGAAAAAAGGTACAGCATTTCGCATCGAACCATCATTTGCAGGACAAATGCCTTTTGATCCATCATTGTTCCTGCAATGTACAACAAACTTCTCATCAAATTTGCTAGTGTCAAAAGTCAACTCTCGATGCCGAGTGTACCAAAAATACCATTCCTACTTGAAGAAATGGTAAAATAAATTCTTTTACAGGCACAACTCTGTAATAAAGACTGCTTTTACTTTTGGTTCTCCATAACATAATTGAAAATAAGATTGACCATGATATCTCCCTCCTAAAGACGAGCTATAAGTAGCACAACCAACAAAAATGGATTGGAGAATTTTTTTGAACTGTGGAACTGGTCGACAAAAGATTTCTGAAACCATCTTTGACTCAGAAAACAGTATACCGATTGCTCCAATACCTTAATTATTATGCGTTCACGTTTGTCCTGCATCTGATCCATTCTCAGAGGAACTGTCGCTATCCGAATCTGTAAGTTAAGTAGAAAACAAGGTCAACATAACTAGAGTCGAATCATACAGAAAGAAGAGAATCAACATTTACCACTCGAAGATGATCCATCACTGCTGGAACTACTTGAACTGCTGGATCTACCATTATCGCCTTCAGCGGCACGAGGTGCAGCACTCTTCTCAAGGGCTTAAAGAAAAAGGAAGAAACTAAATGTCAGGTTTCTGCTTCGAGAGTATAATTAAACCATAGTCCATACGATGAATCCTAAACACGAGAATCAAAAACAGAAGTAGCTTAACACCTGTTCCATTTTCAATCTGGACTTCAGCTACTACTGCACTTGTCGGGTTCTGCAATAATGTGAATCATAGATAGTTTAATGCATCTTGATAGGATCTGAAGATCTGAAGAGCACATGCAACAAAACGCAACCGAAAAATGAAAGGTCAACAAGCTCTTACCGTCAGTGCAACTGTTTGATTCGATGCCGATCTAGCTTGCAGCGCAAGTTCGGCTTTTCTTTTATTCTTGCTCAAGCTCTTCCTGAAGTTCGACACAAACCTATCGAGCTCCCACAATGTCTCCGCGTCAACATTGTCGATGTCCACCTCAATCTCATCGTCGTGTTGAGAAAGTGCGGTGCTCCTCTTCTTGATGATTTGAACAATAGCGTCGAGTTTTTCGGTGGGCAAGCTCTGAAGCTTTGTGCTAAGCCTTTGCTTCTCCTCGTAAGTCATGTCCCGTTTATCGAGATCCTTAGCTTTAGGTTTCTTCGGAACTCGCCTCCTTCCAACGTGGGTTCGTTGACCTTTCGGGTCAACAGCCATAGCTGTTGCCATTGTATCCGGCCTGTCGAAAGTCCTCATATGAGGAGCAGAAGGAACGTACAACGGAAACGGAATAGCTGGGGCAAAATGCGTTTGAGAGGGAGCATTTGGTATTTGGTATTTCAAGTAAGGATTATACTCGGCTTCTATAGCTGCCCACTTCTCTTCAAATACCTGCGATAATTCTTCGGCCATAATATGAACATCTTGCCCTTTCGGATTATAAGTCATGGCGTTTCGGAAAACAAGTCTCACATCCTCGGCGAACTCCCTCGGAATCTTGTACCAATTCTGAGAGAGTCGAGTCTTGATTGTACCGAAATCCATAGGGTGTTTAATGATGTCATGGTAATCGACCAACCCCATGGCCTTGGCATCCACCGGCTCGTTAAACACCCAAGCGTGCTTGTGCTTCATCAACTTCTGAAGTAAGCTGCCACAACTCCGAAAGGCCTGGTTCCTACTCTTGTCGAAACCAAAGCCGAACCGCATTGCGTGGTCCTTTTCTCCGTTGTGTTTCCTCCCGTTACTCGTCTTCAGCCGTTTGTTGCTCTCGGGCGGTAGTCTGTCCTTCCCCAGAAGGAACTCCGACTTTCTGTAGTACTGATTGGCCTTTGGAGTTCGTTTCTCCTTCTCAAGAAATACACCGGGCCCGTGGTCGTTCTCCATTACTGCAATAGTGAGCTGCCTACTGTACGTCCGCGGTTCTCGATTCCGTGTGGAGCCCACATCAGAATTCACTCTCGATAATCCGGTAGGTCTGATTTCCTGGTGACCCACCATACCCATATCTGAGTCAACTCTAACCAACACCCTCTTATCTACGAGGTCATGAAGTTGACTATAGCTATGCCCGCCTGCATTACCACCCTCGATACTAATATAATTACTATTACTAAGATTACTACTGCTAATCTGAGTGTTACATGAAGAAAGCTGAAGCTCCTTGGCTTCAACCTGTTCGACTAATCTCCTAACCTGATCGAGCTGAAACTCCAGTTTCGTAGTAAGCTCCTTAATCTCGACCTTCGATGTTTCTTTAACTAATTGAAATCTAATCTTATCATCGTCTTTCGATATAACCAGGGGCTTGACAACTCCATTCACCGTTGGGATTGATATCAACTGCCCCTCGTTATCTGAGTCAATCCCGATGGGAATCTGCGCCGATGCACCTTCTCTGCCGTTTGACAAACCGTTCTCACAGGACCGAGGCGACGACTCTCTCAAATTATGGGCTTCGTTACCGTCGTTGAATTGTTGCACTTGATGCTGAGTCGAAGAAGTGTCGACATTTTTCTCCACTGAATTATTCGAGGGACTTTGTTCTTGACCCAGTGACAAATCAGCATCTTTGCCTACTAAGGCTTCCAGAGGCTGGTGCAGTTCATCATCCGCGGCAGAACGCCGCGGAGGAGTGGCGGTGGGATAACCGCCAGAGGTGATGGGTGGAACAGAGGCGGCTGCAGAATCCTTGTGGCGGTCATTGAAGTCCTCGGAGGCGGAGGCGGTGGAAACCTTGGCGGTGGAGGGGGAGGCAGCGGGGGAAGAGGGAACGTTGGTGGGCGTGGGGGTGGTGGTGGGATTTGGGGTGGTCTCACGGGCGGCAACGGCGGTGGGGCTACCGGCCGTTGAGGCTTCGGTGGCGGCAGTATCGCTATTATTGCTGGTTCTATTGGGTTTCCGGTTGATTCTTCGAGTATAGACTTTGCGATGTTCGTTCCAGCGGCACCTTTCTCTCCAATTCAAATCATCACTAGAATCCCTTGTAATCCCCGAATCCATACATGTAATCACCAATTGGGATTATAAAACAAAAAAGCCCTAATTTCTAAAAAATCGAACCTTCGAGAACCCTAACATAACCCGAATTCCAGAAACCTAGGGTTTCAAAAACCCTAGAATAACAAGACGACGAACATCACTCACTGCCCAGTACATCAGCAGTAACGATTTCACACAAGAAATTTCAAACACTAGCTAAATTAACCCGGGAAAGACTGACGCTTTAATTTATCAGTAGATCCAATTTTTTTTGTTTTTTTTTATCACAGACCAAAAAAATCCCCAAATTGAAGAAGAGAAACTAAAGATCCGATGGTAGAACAGAAAATAATAAAGAAAAAATACCAATTTTTTTGAAAAAAACAGAGATAAGAGCCAAAACTGAAGACAGGAATTAGGGTTTGAGGTACGAAGGAGCGCGATCCGAACGAACTCCAGTCGATTTTCTCTCTCTAGAAAAACATTTGTTTCTCTCTCTAACCGGTCCCGTCGAATGATATTTTTTTTTTTTTCGGGCGGCACAGTTGCTTCAAATCTCACGCGCTTTTTGACTAGTTACAAATGGGTGTGAGGATTTGCCACGTCACACGCGAGCATTATCGATAGCCACGAGGATCCGTTCAATTCGTTGCATGAAACCACGCGCTGGCTGTGCGAAGATGGAGTTTTGTACCACGTTTTCACAATGCTGATTCACGATTGGCTTTTGCTACATTTTGTAACTAAATAATAAATAAATAAAAAATCCTTTATTTTTAGCGAATCTTAAATAAAAGTCGTTAATCGTTGTACTTGTATTTCAGACTATGTAAGAAGGAAAATCTTGTTTCATACTGCAAAATTACTACATCTTAAATTATCTTTGTACTTCTTTTTTTTTTCTCTTTTTTCTTTGAGAATAAAATATGCTTCTTGTACTTTGATTTTAATTGTAGAGACTTTATTTTTTTTCAATTATAAATTGATTTAAACTATTTTTATAGAGAAAAAAAACTCATTATGTATTGTTTTATTCATGTCCTAGTATTATTAATTTAATCGAAGCTAGGTCTATTCCTATTACACCTTAAGTTTGGTGAATTTGATTATAAAATGTAAACCTCGGTTGGCCTTGAATCGATTAGTAACAGTGTTGTTAAATTATGCATAAAAAAATTGATTTTCTTGAGTTTCATTCGCGTTTGATTTGAATAAAAATTATTAAATCTCAACTCAACTAACTTTAAATATATCTCAGTTACAAATTTTAAGTTGAATAACATTCCAACAAATTAAAATAATCAATGATTATACTAAATAATAATCTAAAAAAAAAAATACAATTTTTTGTTATTTTCTTTGAATACCATATAAAAATGAATGGGAAATATTGCTAATTTTGAAAAAGTCAAGTGACAAATGACTAGATATTACGACCTTTTAGATAGACGATTGGCATATCTTGGTTCAACCAATAGTCTGCATTCTAAAATTCACAAATTTTACATTATCTCAGTTAATAGATAATTCGCATAAATATATTTCATTAAAGCACTATCAAATTTCAAGAAATAATATACTCTTTCTGTTTCATAATATCTGTCTCTTTTGAGAATTTTTTTTGTTCCATATTATCTGTCACTTTACAATTTCAATGCTGCATTAATTGCTTATTTTTCAATTTTACCCTTATTAACTGTATAGCACTCTTCCTGCATTAATTAATAAACAAGGGTATTTTGGTCCATCAATATCTATTTTTCTAAAATCAAGACATATTTATTGAGATTCTTAAGATTTGTGTCAAGGTGAAAAACGACACATATTTAGGAACGGAGGGAGTAGTAAACTTTGGTACAGTAAATGTCAATAACTCTTCAAATTAATTATAGTTAAGCATGCATATTATCTTGAAAGAAAAAACTTTGAAAATAATCAAAATTTGAGGATTAAAAAAAGGTTAAATTACGGCTACCCCTGATGTAAGGTCAAATTACGAAAGAATCCCTCATGTTTGGGTAATTACAGCTACCCCTCAACTATGAATCTTCTTACACGTTCACCATGGTAGTGTCAAATTTAGTAGAATCTTCTGGATTATATAGAATATTCTCCAATTAATACCTCATTCGAGCTCCGTATTTGAAATAATATAATTATATGATGTGTTTTTTGGTTTGTAAATATTAGATTTGATATGCATCAAAAACTGTATTTTTGCACAAAACGAGTACAAAACTAGAGAATATTCCAAATAATCTAGATGATTATATTGAATTCGACATCATGCGGCCGATAGACATGTAAGAAGATTCATAGTTGAGGGGATGATTGTAATTACTGAAATATATGAAGAATTTTTTCGTAATTTGACCATACTTTAGGATAGTGGCCGCAATTTTACTCTAAACAAAACATTAAAGCAAGATTAACAAAATATTAATGGAGGCCGCATGGAAATGATAATAATTAATACATGCCAAAAATACATTATCTTTTTTTTTTTCACTCCAGATAAAGATATTGCGTCATCCTTAATTGGATTAACTCTGTAAAAAGTTTTTTGCTCCACACGTTTTAATGGCGGCCAAAAATGATGACGTGGATTATGGATAAAATATTTATTTTGTGGATTATGCAAACACGTACTGTACTTTGTCTGTTTCATATAGTTGAAAGGGTGGCGCCTTTTTCTGTATATATTATTATTATTCTTAAATATAAATACATTATATATATATATACATTCTTAAACTCGTCATAGGTAATAAAGCAACCTCAGTTTGGACAAACAAAGTCAATTTACGATAAACTCATGCTTCAATCATTTTATTGATTTTTTTTGTTCTCACAATAATTAGTTATATATTATTAGTTTAATAATTTATTTGATATTTTAAAAAAATTACGCCCACACAAAGACGTTTTTAGCTCCATTTTAATTATAACTCGATGCCCAGATTCGTCTACCATGTAAATTCGAATGCGATCACAATGTATAAACACTTTAAAATAAACTTTGGATGTTAAAACAATTCAATTACTTATTTTCCAGTATACGACGATGGAAACATATTTCTAAATCTTGCCAATTTCGATCAACAAAAACTTTGATTCTAGAATCAAGGTTTTCCATTTTAAATTCCAAATATATTATCTTTGATGTTTATAAAAAATAGTTGAACCGGAATATATATAATTCGATTTGATTAGTAACATAAATATTAATTTATTTTCTGAAAACTACACTTATAATTTCAATATTATTGCGCATTATAATTATCGTGGACGGTTGAAAAAAAAAAAGTATTATGTATTCTACCTTTTCCATATTTTATAGTTTCACATGGGGCACCACTTCTAATTAAGTTATTGTACTAGTGCAAAGATTAAAGTGCATAAATAATACACAATATTAATGGGAAATACATCACAAAATTAACTACTAGAATATATACGAGTTCAAGTTATAAAAAGCAGAAAGTTCAACTTAAAACTTATATTATTCACTAATGACATGTTACATCGTGGTCGCATCCAAATGATCACCGCCGCATGCATTAATCAACTCAACTAAACACCGCATCGAAAAGATTAAGTGAAAAAAAAAACAATAAAAGAAAAAATAGGAAAAGCCTCTTCAAAATTACAATAAGTTCTCTTATAATCCTTTATAAACCCTCTCATTCACCGTAAAACGGCATTAATGATGTTTAGGGTCGGGTCCCCCCGGACTAACCCGATTGAACTCGTACCAATTCTCTGCAATATCTTTTCTCCTCAAGCTCTCTTTAATAATTTCTTGGGCGCTCTCAACCAATGCACGTTTCTCAGGATGTGGCGATAAAAAAAGTAAACGCGACTCGCAAATAACGAATGAAGACGTGATTAAGACTAAACAAAACCATAAGTTTAAACCAGCCATATATATATGTGTGTAATTAAATTAGATATAATGAAGAATGGGAATAAGTGTGTTTGAATTTTTTTGTAGATGTGAGGTAGAAAATGTGGGATATATATATAGAAATCAACTCCAAATGGTGACAAAAAATAAATTAATAATTAAATTTATTGGGGGGATATATAGTCTTAGTATAAGGATTCCACTAACAATGTTGGAGTGGGCGCACGTCTGCGATACCATGCAATCAATATACATATGAAAATGACATTTGTTCATAAAGGGAATAAATTATCAATAATCATATATATATATATATATATATATATATATATATATATATATATATATACCCCTCCCTATATATATATATATATATATATATATATATATGTTTGGAGTTAATCTTGTTACTATTGTATATTTGTTCATACG